TTGGGCCATACTGTACCAGTTTGTCTAGATAGTTAATGGTAATAATGTGATTTACAGAGAATATCTGCTTCTTCTCTGAGGGGTAACTAGAGCTTAAATAACTGAGGGCAATCATACAGGTGCTACAAGCTTATATGACTGACCCCTAAAATAAAAACCCTGGACACTCAAGTCTGAGCAAGATTTCCTGGTTTGTAATACTTTGCATATGTTGTCACACATCCTCCCTGGGTAATTATGTCTCACATGATTCCACTGGGAGAGAACATTTGGAAGCTTGTGCCTGGTTTTCTCAGACTTGACTTGTGTGTCTTCACTTATTTTATCCATTCTATCCTTTTTTTTTGTATTAGGTTGGTGCAAAAGTAATGAAAGAGTTCATTCTTAGATAGGTTGATAAGGAGTCCAGGGTCCCCATGGAGGAGGAGAAAGGGCTACAGGCCCTCTAGGAGGAGAAAAGGACAAACTTCTTTTTTTCTACATTCCTTGTCTTAGTCACATAAAACACTTTGTTCTTTAAGCCCAGAGCTAATGATTACACAACAAAACAACTCATTTTGCTCAAGGGTGTGTTTTTCCTTAAATTCTGTACCAATGATATATATAGTTTTTATATATAACAACAGTGTATCCTGCTCAAAGACATGTTTCTCCCTCTTAAGAACCTTCTGACTAATCCTGTTATCTTAAAATCTTTTTGCGGGAGTGGGTATGGTAAGACCTTTACAACCTTGAGACATTCTTCTGATTTATTCTTAATCACCAAATGAAAAAGTATATAGCTCCCTTGCTAAGACTAGTGAGGGGGCACTCTCTGTCCCCCTTCTGATGTCTATGTCCGACCTGAAGCTAAATCCTCTTCTTTGGAGATCAAGAATCCAACATCAATGCCGTTCACAGTTAAGCTATCAGTAATTGTCATTTTGCATTATTGAAATTTGTCATTTGATATTGGAATACATTCTAAAATAAATGTGGCTATGTTACACATCATGTTAATGTGCATTTCTTGCTTTTTTTTTGTTAATGACATTACTTTCAGCTTATTTTATATTTATTTTAGACTAGGGAAATAATTTTAGACAAAAAGCAAATTCAAGTGATTTTTTCATTCAAGTTCAAAAGGGGTTGTAAAGCAGTGGACACAACTCACAGTAACTGCTAACAAATGTACAACGCAGTGGAGGTTCAAGAAGTTTTGCAGAGGTGATGAGAGCCTTAAAGATGAGGACCACAGTGGCCATCCATCAGAAGTTCACAATGACAGATTGAGAGGATCATTGAAGCTGATCCTCTTATAACTGTAGGAGAAATTGACCAGTGTTGACCATTCTACAGTCATTTGGCATTTGAAGCAAACTGGAAAGTTAAAAACCTCAATAAGTGGGGGTGCCTCAGGAGCTGACATCAAATCAAAAAAATTGTTGAAGTATGGCCTTCTCTTATTCTGCCCAACAATAATGAACCAACCATTTTTTAATCAGTTTGTGATGTGCAATGAAAAGCGGATTTTATATGACAACCAGCAAAAACCAGCTCAGTGATTGGACTGAGACGAAGCTCCAAAGCACTTCCCAAAGCTAAACTTGCACCAAAAGAAGGTCACAATCACTGTCTGGTGGTCTGCTGCCCATCTGATCCACTATAGCTTTCTGAATCCCAGTGAAACCAGTACATCTGAGACGTATGCTCAGCAAATTGATGAGATGCACAAAAACTGCAAAGCCTGCAGCCAGTACTGGTCAACAGAAGGGGTCCAATTCTTCTCAACGACAATGCCTGACCACACAGTGCACAACCAACGCTGCAAAACTTGAATGAACTGGGCTAAGAAGTTTTGTCGCATCCACCATATTCACCTGACCTGTCATCAACTGACGACCACTTCTTCAAGCATCTCAACAACGTTTTGGAAGAACTCTTGGAAAGAGTTTGTCGAATCCTGAAGCACAGATTTTTATGCTACAAGAATAGACAAACTTATCTCTCACTGGCAAAAATGTGTTGATTATAATGGTTCCTATTTTGATTAACAAAGATGTATTTGAGCCCAGGTGTAATGATTTAAAATTCACAGTCCAAAACTGCAATTACTTTTTCACCAACCTAATAATAAACTGTAAGTGTAACAGCTTCTGACTCCTGACAGTCCTTCCAGTGAATCACTGGGGCAAAGACTCGTCATGAGGACCCCTAATACAGCTTCCTTTGAAGTCGGAGATGTCTCTCTCTCTCTCTTTTTTAATAAGATTTCCCAAGATTTAATTTTTTAAACCAGAAAATGGAGAATGATCTCTTGGAGGCTCTTTAGGGGAAATTTAACTACATAAGATTTAATCATTTAAAATGAAATCAAAACACTGGATTCAAACTGTACAGGAGAAACTCTAGCTTTTTTTATATCTCTGCTTCTCATGAGGTGGAACACTTCTTAGATACTCTGGAGAAGAGGCATTTTAAGCCCTTATAATACTTCTACTTTATTAACAGATATTTAATATAAAGAATTAAGCAGACTTTTTATTGGTATATAACTTACATATAGTAAAGGCATAGATGTTAAGTGTATTATTGGATAAGTTTTGACACATATATATATACCTCTATAACCACCACCCAGATCAATGGTTAGAATATTTCCACTACCCTAGAAAGGTTCGTTATACTCCTTTTCAGTCAGCCACTCCCCTTCCCCACTGCAAGATAACCACTGTTCTGACTTTTAATATCTAAGTGTAGTGTTGCTTGTTCTAGTACTTCCCATAAATGTAATCATGGAGGGAGTATGTACTCTTGCGTCTAGGAGATGATTTAACCATATTACTTAAATCAGTAGTTCACAATTTTTTGTTTCTGAGTAGCATTTTGTTGTATGGATATATAATATTTCTTTAACCATTCACCTGTTGTTTAACCATTTGGGTTGTTTTAGTCATGTCTGACTCTGACTCTTTTGTGATCCCATGGACTGTAGCCCACAAGACTCCTATGTCCATGGGATTTCCTAGGCAAGAATACTGGAGTGGGTTGCCAGGAGATATCTCTTGTTTCTGAGAAATGCCTGAACTTTACTACTCTACATATTTTTCTGACATTTGGCAAGATCAATTCCCCCAGATCAGTTAATTCCAGGATCTGACTTAGTCAATTATGATTGAAAGGCCACTGACACCGGCATTTCAGGTAGAGAGCCATGTCTGACTTTCATATTTCATCAAGCCAAGCCGGCTAGTCCCAACAATGTATATGAGCATGCTATGTCTTGGGTACTGCTTAAATAGCTGAGAAAGTGGCAAAGGCACGTCACTATTTTATATACTACTACAACCAAGCTCCCAGTAGGGTAGAGCAGTAACACCTCCCACCAATTTTCTGCTGCCAGCCCTTCCTATGATCTCCCTGTCAGAAACTAGAGAATGCTGCACAGATATAATCCCCACTCGGCTGCAAGAGAGAAGCCTCTGTCCTGGCCCTAGAACAAGGCTCTTAGATAGGATGCAGCTCCACATGGGAGGCATAAATGATTTCCATATAAAAAGTACACCTAGAGTAAATGCTCTATAAGATTCACTCTCACTCACATGTACCCTGACTTCTTGAATGGGAGAGACAGTTGCAAGTATATTGTATGTAAAAAATTATACATAACCCACAGCCCTCATATGTGGCAGGCATGTAGTAAATATTTTAACTATTCATTATGTTAGCTGTATGCTTTGATGTAATCTGGTTTCTGCCCCCATACCTCAAATCTGTGACCAACAGGTCACTTTATATTCTAAAAAAGACCTTGAGATTTCATCACCCTAGAAGTGGGTCATACACACTATGTAAATGAAACATACTAGTCTTAAAATGGCTCAGAGTCATAGCACTAGGCAATATGAAGTAAAATACATTCCCACGTTCCCATTTCTTCAGGTAAATTGCATGTCTCAAATACGTCCAGAATGTACCCTTGTACTGTAGTGAGACGAGTGGTAAATAAAGACAAAGGGTAAATCTCCTCCTTATATGGGAACTAATAGACCAGCATAAAATCTCTATCACACATTAACATAGGCATCTTTATGTTTCTGAGAAAATCTTAACACTTACTTAAAAGTCTCTCACAAAGTTTTTCATCCATAAATCACTCATAGTAACTAGATGGTTTGTTGAGGACCAGCAAAATAAGCAGAGAAATAGTGTGACAGAACCTACTAATGAGGCTGGCTAGCTTTCCCTTTCTCTCATTAAAACAAGCATTTATGTGTGCATGTTTATGTATTATACATATATTTTTAAAGGAAAATGAGCATTTTATAATGCTTATTTTGTAAGCATATTTTCTGTTACTGATGATGCTATTCTTATTAAATACATTTTAACTGCTTGGAATCCCAGGCACATACTCAGGTTCATTCCCTTTCTCCTCAGGCAGTTTCAACAATCCACACAACATTTTCAATTTAACAGTCCTCATTACTGGTATCATTTAATACTTGAGGGTATGCTCAAGTCAACATCAATCTTGCTGATCCTGCAAACACTTATTTTGTTGACACAACACAGTCTGAATCTATAGCTATTAAATGTTTAAAAAAAAAATTAACTATTCCTTTCCCTGACATGTTACCAAGTACTAAGATCAGCTCTGTCCCTCACTTAGTCCTATCACAGAGACACGAGCATGGGGTGGCGGTGGGGCATTCATGTAACAGTGCCATGTCATCTGTCCGAATGCTGCCCACACATAAATCTTCTCAGACATTTGATACCTTAAAGTCAACCACTGTGAAGGTGAAAATGTTTACCTGTGAGGCATTTTGTCAGACACATCTGACTCATACTTTCTTATTAACAAATAACCTTTACCACAAGTAAATCTTAACTAACCAGAACAGAGAAATGCCTTGCTCTCAGAAGGAACAATAAAAACCCATTTAGAATAAAATTTATTCTTTAATTAAGCTTTAAATGTCTGGATGAGTCTAAATCATGAAATAAAATCTCTTTACCTGATTGGAAAATCTCATGCTCACATTTCGTTGATTCTGTAGTGGGACAAAACGCTGAACAGGATCAATATCTTTAGGACTAATTAATTCATCAGCTGAAAAAAAAGAAGGGAAATGACTGGATCAATAATGTATCTACACAACACTGTAAACCAACTAGACCTAACAGGTGTTTATAGAACACTCCATTAAACAAGAGCAGAATATATATCCTTCTCAATATGCAAGCAACATCTTTCACATACCAGACCATAAAATAAGCTTCAGTAAATATAACAGGATTTAAATCATACAAAGTATATACTTCAACCACAATAGAATGAAATTAGAAATTAATAACAGAAAGAAGTCTCAGAAATTCACAAACTAAAATTAAACCATACATTCCTAAATAACCAATGGGTTGGAAAAGAAAAGAGAAATTAGGAAAAACTTCCTAATGTACTTTCTGATGATGATTGAAAAAGAAGACACAACATACCAAACTGTAGGGGATTTAGGTAAAGCAATGCTCAAAGGGGAATTCATAGCTATAAATGCATATATTAAAACAGAAGACTCTCAAGTCAATAAGCAATATTTCATATTAAGACAACAGATGAAAAAGAGCTAACTAAGCAAAAGCTCACAAGAGGAGTATAGTAGATTCTTGAAAAGCTCAAAAGTTGACAAACCTTTAGATAGACTAACCAAGAAAAAAAAAAGACTTAAATTACTTACTCGGGAATGAAACTAGGAACATTACTACTGATCTTAAGGATTCCAAGAGAATATTCTCAAAAAAAATATATGCCAACCTAGATGACATGGGCAAATTCCTAGAAATACACACACTACCAAAGCTGATTCACGGAGGAAAAGGAAATATGAACAGATGTATAACAACTTGTGACTGAAACTCTTCACACAAAAAATGTCCAGGATCATGTGACTTCACTGATGAATTCTACTGAACAGTTAGAAGAATTAAAACCAATCTTTCATAAAATTTTACAAAAACCAGTAGAGGGACACTTTCCAACTCATTCTAAGAGGCCAGTAGTACCCTAAAACAGAAATCAAAGACACCACAAGGAAAGAAAATCACAAATCAAATTTTTTTCTGAATATAGACACAAAATTACTCAACAAAAACACTAGCAAATCAAACCCAGTAACATACAAAAATTATTACATACCATGACCAAATGAGACTTACCCTACAAATCCAAGAATGGCTTAACATCCCTAAATCAGTTATTGCAACTCCCCATATCAACTGAACAAAGGATAAAAAACTACATGACAATCTCAGTAGACATAGAAAATACTTGACAAAATTCAATATCCTTTCATCATGGTAAAAAGCATTCAGCAAACTAGGGATAGACAGGAACTTCCTCAACCTGATAAAAAGGCATCTATGAAAAATCCAATCACTGGTGTCATACTCAATGGTAAAAGAATGCTTTGCCACAAAGATCAGGAATCAAGACAATGATGTCTGCTCTCGCCACTTCTATTCAACCTTATACTGGAAGTTCTAGTCACAGAAATAAGGCAAGAAAAAGCAACAAAAGGCATCCAGAATGAAAGGTAGAAGCTACAGTAATTAAAACAATGTGGTACTGCCATAAAGATAAGAGATCAGTGGAATAGACAAGAGTCCAGAAATAAACCCTTATATTACAGCCAACTAATTTTTGACAAGGGGGCCAAAACAATTCAGGAAGGAAAGAATAGTTTTCTCCCCATACAAAGTACTAGGAAAGGGAATATACAAAACAAAAGAATGAAATTGGACCTCTTTACACAAACTACAAAAATAAAGACAAATTAGACTAAAAAGTTAAAAGTAAGAGCTAAAGGTATAAAATTGTTAGAAAAAAATATGAGTAAATCTTTGTGACTTTGTATTCGATAAAATTACATCAAAACATATGTAACAAAGAAAAAATGAGATAAACTGGACTTTGTCAAAATTGTAAGCTGTTGTGTCTCAAAGAATACCTTCAAGAAAGTAAAGTGACAGCCCAAAGAATGGGAGAAAATATCTGAAAACCACATAACTTGTAGGTGACCTGTATTTTGAACATACAAAGAACCCTTACAACTTAACAATAAAAAGACAAATAACCTAATTTAAAAATGGCTACAGTATCTGAATAGACATCTCTCCAAAGAAGATTTACAGTAAACATACAAAAAGATGCTCTGATAATATTAGTCACTGGGGAAATGCTTATCAACACCACAATGAGGTAATACCTCATACCCATTAGAACAACTAACACCAAAAAAAAAGACAAGAATAAGGGTTGGGGAGGACACAGAGAAATTAGAACCCTTATACACTGCTGGTTGGAAGCCAAAATGGTATACCTACTTCGCAAAATAGTTTAGAAGTGCTCCAAATGTTAAACATAGAGTTACTATATGACTCAGTAATTCTACCCCTAGGAATTGGGGTAGGAAATGAAAGGGAAATGAAAACATATGTCAAACAATAACTTGTTCATGAAAGTTTATAGCAGCATTATTCACAATAGCCAAAAAGTATAAACAACCCAAATGACCATCAGCTGATGAATGGATACATCAAAAGCTGTCTACCCATACACTGGAATGTTATTCTGCCATAAAAGAACAAAGTGTGGGAATTCCCTGGTGGTCCAGTAGTTAGGACTTTGCACTTCCACTTCAGGGGGCATGGGTTTCATCCCTGGTCTGGGAACTAAGATCCTGCATCACGTTGCACGGGCAAAAAGAGGTGGGGGGTGGGGGGTGGGGGAGAAAAAGTGTTACTACACGGATGAAACTTGAAAACAGGATAAGTGAAAAAAGTTTGCAATAAAGGCCATACATTACATGATTTGTTGTTCATTCACTCAGTCATGTATGACTCTTTGTGACCCCATGGATTGCAGCACGCCAGGCTTTCCTGTCCATCACCATCTCCCGGAGCTGGTTCAAACTCATGTCCATTTAGTTGGTGATGCTGTTGAACCTTCTCATCTTCTGTCATCCTCTTCTCTTCCTGCCTTCAGTCTTTCCCAGCATAAGGGTCTTTTCTAATGATTTGGCTCTTTGTATCAGGGAGCAAAAGTATTGGAACTTCGATTCAGTTTCAGTATCAGTCCTTCCAATGAATATTCAGGACTAATTTCCTTGAGAATTGACTAGTTTCATCCCCTTGCAGTCCAAGGGACTCTCAAGAGTCTTCTCCAACACCACAGTTCAAAAGCATCAATTCTTCGGCACTCAGCCTTTGTTACGCTTCAACCCTCACATCCATATATGACTACTGGATAAACCATAGCTTTGACTATATAGACCTTTGCTGGCAAAGTAATGTCTCTGATTTTTAATATGCTGTCTAGTTTGGTCATAGCTTTTCTTCCAAGGAGCAAGCGTCTTTTAATTTCATGGCTGCAGTCATCATCTACAGTGATTCTGGAGACCAAGAAAATAAAGTCACTGTTTCCATTGTTTCCCCATCTATTTGCCATGAAGTGATGGGACCGGATGCATGATCTTTATGTTTTTTGAATGTTGAGTTTTAAGCCATTTTTTCACTCTCCTCTTTCACTTTCATCAGAAGGTTCTTTAGATCCTTTGTGCTTTCTGCCATAAGGGTGATGTTATCTGCATATCTGAGGTTATTGACATTTCGCCTGGCAATCTTGATTCCAGCTTGTACTTCATCCAGCTCAGCATTTCACATGATGTGCTCTGCATATAAATTAAATAATCATGGTGACAATATAGAACCTTGACGTAGTCCTTTCCTAATTTGGAACCAGTCTGTTTTTCCATGTCTGGTTCTAACTGTTGCTCCTTGACCTGCATACAGGTTTCTCAGGATGAAGGTAAGGTGGTCTGGTATTCCCATCTCTTATAGAATTTTCCACAGTCTGTTGTGAGCCACACAAAGGCTTTAGCATACACAATGAAGCAGTAGTAAATGTTTTTCTGGAATTCCCTTGCTTTTTCTATGATCCAACGGATGTTGGCAATTTGATCTCTGGTTCCTCTGCCTTTTCTAAAACCAGTTTGAACATCTGGAAGTGCTCGGTTCACTTACTGTTGAAGCCTGGCTTAGAGAATTTTGAGCATTACTTTGCTAACATGTGAGATGAGTGCAGTTGTTTGAACATTCTTTGGCATTGTCTTTCTTCAGGATTGGAATGAAAACTGACCTTTACCAGTCCTGTTGCTGAGTTTTCTAAATTTCTCACATACTGAGAGTGCACAGCATCATCTTTTAGGATTTGAAATAGCTCAGCTGGAATTCCAACAACTCCACTAGCTTTGTTCGTAGTGATGCTTCCTAAGGCCCACTTGACTTCACACTCCAAGAAGTCTGGCTCTAGGTGAGTGATCACATCATCGTGGTTATCTGGGTCATGAAGATTTTTTTGTATAGTTCTTCTGTGTGTTCTTAACAGCTCTTCTTAATCTCTTCTGCTTCTGTTAGGTTCATACTGCTTCTGTCCTTTATTGTGCCCTCTTTGCATGAAACGTTCCCTTGGTATCTCTAATTTTTCTGAAGAGATCTCTACTCTTTCCCATTCTATTGTTTTCCTCTATTGCTTTGCACTGTTCACTCAGGAAGGCTTTCTTACCTCTCCTTGCTATTTTTTGGAACCCTGCATTCAGATGGGAATATCTTTCCTTTTCTCCTTTGCCTTTCACTTCTCTTCTTTTCTCATCTATGTGTAAGGCCTCCTCAGACAACCATTTTGTTTTTTTGCATTTCTTTTTCTTGGGGATGGTTTTGATCCAACACCTCCTATACAGTGTTAGGAACCTCCATCCATAGTTCTTCAGGCACTCTATCAGGTCTAACCCCTTGAATCTATTTGTCACTTCCACTGTATAACTTACGGGACTTGATTTGGGTCATACCTGAATGGCCTAGTGGTTTTCCCTACTTTCTTCAGTTTCAGTCTGAATTTTGCAATAAGGAGTTCATGATCTGAGCCACAGCCAGCTCCCAGTCTTGTTTTTGCTGACTGTATAGAGCTTCTCCACCTTTGGCTGCAAAGAATATAATCACCCTGATTTCGCTTTTGACCATGTAGTGATGTCCATGTGTAGAATAGTCTCTTGTGTT